AAAATTTGATAAAACAAAAATAAAAGAGTAAAAAGAGCAAAATGTCGTTTTAAGTTGACTGAGTTTTTTTAACAGGTAAATTAAATCCAAAACAAAATGACAATCAGAGAGACCAAAGTCGAAACAGATTGGTAACCATCTTGACCAAAACTATAATTGGTTTAAAAGAGGGACTAAAGTTGATAGTGAATGACAACCACATACATAAAAAATGTAATTTACTCTATACATATAAGTCAAAAGTAAAGGGTCGTTTACCAAATGTTTATTCGGGTAAGTGAACACCAAGTCACATTATCTTGCCGAATGAATATGGTAAGGACCAAGAATCTTACTCGGTAAGAATGAAACAATGACCAAGAATCTTACCTGGTAAGTGAGGACGACGACTCTTACCATGGTAAGCGCTTACCTGGTAAATTGTTGCATACGATACCGTTTTGGTGGATTAAAATATTATTCGGTAGGTAAATGATAATATTAAATTTTACCCGTAAACGTTTATCGGGTAAGTGTTTGATAAACGACCCCTAAGTTTTATATTTAATATACAGACACCTTATAACATCGAGAGATGAAATAATCGAGAAAAAATAAATTAAATTCCTGATTTACATTTCTTAATTTGAAAAAAGAAGTAAAAAAGAATAAATATAGTGATAATTTGATTAGTTTCAGTTGGGAACCGCATGCCCATTTGAACCGAGCAACCACAAAGAACGCATCACATTTCGATACACTCGACATTAATGTTGTAAAAGAATTCACACAACTATTCATGAATATTAACACGTGACACACTCTATAGTTATCCGGTCCGTAATAGAAACACGGTTCTCAATCGAAATTTCTCTCTTCTTTCTCTCTCTCTCTCTCTCTCTCTATATATATATATATATATAGAGAGAGAGAGAGAGAGGGGAGCGATCAAATGCAAACCACCCAACTTGTACAAACCATGCAAACCACACTCATCCGTCGATTTCATTGTTTAATTTTATGATTTTTTTTCATGAAATTGTTTAATCTTGTGAAATTGTTTCATATAATATTTTTTTTGATGAAGTTATTTCATACATGGTTATGAAGTTGTTTCATATAATACTTAATGAAATTTTAATGAAATTGTTTCATGTATGTTTCTAAAATTAAAATAATGAAGATGATAATATCCATAATTAACACCCTCCACAATAAAAATTATTAATCAACCTCTCATAATTACAAAAAAAATGAATAAAATAAAGAAATTATGATTGATTAAATGAGATTTGTACGATTTGCAAAGTAAATCCTCTACATATCTAATACATCTTTACAAATCGAAAAAGAAGATAGAGACAAAATTTTCCATATATGAAGAAAATTGAGAAAATCTCCCAAATTAAATATTGAAGGAGAGAGTATATACTTAAATTATTATTTATTTATTTTGAATGAGGAGAGAGAAGGATGAAATAGAATATTAAATTAATATTTTATAAAAAATTTGTTAAAATAATAAATATATTAAATATTTTAATAATATAATTAATGCTATAAATTAGCTGTATGCAACTTTTTGGATGATTTTGAATTTTTTTTATGTTGAAGAAATTATAACCAAAAATTTTGTTCGAGATGCTTTTATAATTTATAATTAACGAAAAAAGTACCAAATATAATTAATTTGCTTCAATGTAACACCCACTGAAATATTAAGTTTAATATAATAATTTATACAATATAATAAATTAATAAATTTTTTATTTGTAATTATTAATCGTATATTTTTAAATAAGTAACATATATATAATTAATATAATAATATGATTTAAACAATATAATAAAAAAATATTGAAATAAATTGATGTTGAGTTCATTAGAAAAATAATTGTTAAAAAAGTTGTTTAAACAATTTAATAATAAAATAAAAATACTTTATGTTTTTGTTAAATTAAAAAATTTATAAAAAAGGTAAAGAAAAAATGTGACTTGCTTGACTTCTTCTTTCCATATATGGAAAATTGAGTTCACAACATCATTGTATTTGAAATATACTCTATATATACATATATATACATATATATATATATAACACAAAAGCACATACTTAGACAAAATCATCACGTTTTTCCTCTTACTATACTTTCGATTTCACATTCTTTTTGGGTTATCACTTTTCACAAGAGGTACGTTTTTCAATTATAAATTCTTCTTTTCGTTGTACAGAATTTGAGATTTTAACTTTGCAAAATCGGGAACTGGTTTTGTTCCATATTGTAAAAGTTCACATCTTCTCAAAGTTTAGAGGTCGATCACTAAAAAAAGCTCATGCATTTATTATATATGTGTCTTATTGAAATGTCTTAAAGAATTTGTTTCTTATTAAGCTTAGTTCATCTAAAATTTGATTGTTATAGTGTGTGAACTTTGTGGTCATGAGGCTAGGTTGTGATTGTCTTGTTTTCTTGAAGATCAATAGTTGGAAACAGATCATGCATATTTAGATGCTTCCATCATCTTGTTACCCTTGTTATTTGTGTAAATTAACAGTCTTTTAAGTTAAAATCTATTTTGGTATGTCAGATTCTTATAAATTTGTACAGATTTTATCGTTCACTTTGTAAACTTATGTGCAAAACAAGATTTTTTTTCCTTCTACGGATTAAGATCGTTGTCAAACGGAAAAAAAGGCGAATTTGTTGGGTTAATTATCCGTTTTGTGTTGTTCTTGTCTTGAAAGTTTTAAGAGTAAAGATTGGGTTCTTGTTTTTGTACGTTTGTCGTGGTTGATCAAGAGGCATACGTTGTTATTTTGAGGGATTGTTTGTTTTGCTTTTCTTGTTAAGTAGAATTATGCAAAACTACGGCTTTTTTACAAAGATTGTGGCCAAATTGAAAACGCGGAATGCATTGAGGTTTTGATGGTTTTCTTATCTTTTTTTTATTAACCGGGATATCCAACTCGCTATGCGAGCCGACTAATCCTAGGGGACCACCTGCTTTGCAGATAGCCCGGAGTCACCATATTTAAACCTCCGTGGCCATAAGGGAATTTTTATTCCTCATTGGATTTAAACTTAGGACCTCCTGGTACTTTTGACCTTTGAAGCCAAGCTCAAACCAATCAGGCACCATCCTTGTAGTTCTTCTTTTTGTTGTTTGTGTCTTGAAATTACTGTTAAGAGTAAAGATCGGGTTCTTGTTTACTGTTTTGAGGGTTTGTTTATTTTGCTTATGTACTTAATTCTAGGGTTTTGAGTGTTGGGTTTCTGCTTTTTGCTTGACTATATGATTGTTCTTGCATATTTTAATTTCTGATGAGAAGATCTTAGGTTTTAACTACAATTGTTGACGAAATATGGTATTATCAACCGACGAATTTCAGATTTTAACATGTTCGAAGTGGGTAGTTGTTAAAAACCAGATTTCTCATTAGAAAAATGAAGGTGCTGTTAAAAACCAGATTTCTCATTAGAAAAATGAAGGTGCTGTTAGAAACCAGATTTCTCATTAGAAAAATGAAGGTGTTGCTAAGAACCAGATTTCTCATTAGAAAAATGAAGGTTTTTCTTCATGTGATAAACGTGTTATTCATATGATACTATAATCCATCACATGTAAACAACCTTTGAGTTAGGACACGTCGTCCGCATACCACCAAGTCCACTCACGTGAATTATCATATGTGATATGTTCTCGCTCCCTAGGAAGAAACCCTATATATATATACCTACTTTCTGTGTTTTGATGTGGCGTTACATATCTACGTACCAAGTTATGCATTGTTTTGTGTTCGAAATAACATTTTGTGAACGCTATCGCTTGCTTTCTGCTTTGGTAACATTTAAATTGTCCAGGAAATCTAATGATCTTTACATATGAGGAACATGATATCTAGAAGCTTATAAAATTCATATTTCCCTACTTTCTTAGCAAATCAGGCAATTTATTTCGTGGTTTTTCGTATCTTTACATGATTACACGCCACTGAAATGTGCTACAACGATATCGAATTACTCTAGCAAATTAATTAAGATCGATCCTTAATCAACTTACATTCTATTTTCAGTAACAATATAATGAATCTTACTTTACTTATTTTGCAGAGATGGTAAGAAAGAGTAGATTCAGCAAAGTTCCATCTCTTCCCAGTATTCCAAAGACTAATACACATCCGTATGGGCACCGCCTCTCGGCTCAAGCTGTTGCCCAAGCTTTTGTGGAACGGTACTATCAGGTTCTCCATGCACATCCTGAAGATGCTCATAAATTTTATAAAGATCAAAGCATCTTATCCCGTCCAAACGCTGATGGGTCAATGCGGACAATTACAACGGCGAAGGTATGGTTTAGACGCGCAGAAATAGATAAAATTAAGTCTTAAAGAAATTGGGAAATCAAGCAGGAAAAATGAAATCAAGTCCTATGTTTCAAAGCATGATGTTTGCATCTGGATCCATTCAATCAAAAAATGAGATGTACATCCAACCAGAAACAATTTTTTTGGTAATTAAATAAGGATCACATAAGTTAAAACTTCACTCGAGAAATGGGTTAGTGGCTGGAGTGAAATCGTAACAAGGTTGCCATAGTCGAAGGTGTTGCTGGATCACCTCCTTTTTAGGGAGAACCAATGGTTGGTGGGGATAACATATACTCACATTGGCTTAGATATATAGCTATTTGGGGTATTTTATGTAGTTAGATAGTAACCTTTTTGCTCTATGAGTGCATAACTTTGCATCACATTTGGTTTTGGATCAGGGAATTAAGGATGAGATCATGGCTTCTGATATAAAGGACTGGACTACCAAAGTACTCTCGATGCACGCTCAGGACTCATTAGAGGATTCGGTTTTTATAGGAGTAGCAGGCGCTTTGCATAACAAAGACAACGCGACGAGATACTTCTCCCAGAATTTCTTCTTGGCACCACAAACCAAAGGCTTTTATGTGCACAATGATTTCTTTCAGTTTATAGATGAAGGGATCAGGCCCAAAATTACTGGTATATGTAATTCTTCTTGTTATTCCAAGTTCATGTTGGTTGCATCGTCTTGTGTTCAATAGATTTCTTCTTTTGTTTATCAGAAGATTGTGTTCAGATTATAATGAAAGACAAGTGCACCTCTACAGAAGATGATATTGATAATAGAAATCAGATTAGTGCCGATTCATCAGACACGAAGAATTCAGTACTTCCAGATGACCAAAAGATCAGCGCATCCCCCATTGCACAATCTGTTTCATGCACTGATCAAGAAGTTGTAAAAAAAGTGTCCTATGCATCAATCGTGAGCTCACTTCGGGCACTCTTTATATTTCAGGTTGTATATTTTTCTGGTAATCATTAATTAAAACACTATTGCTCTTTGGTGTAGGTCGCGAAAGCTAGTTCATTACCCTCCTCGAATGCTGCTGTTAAAATTTTGCAAAACAAAGAGAAGCAATCACATGACCCTCCATCTGTTGTTCCTGTCAAACCATCTTCTCCTCCAAAGAATGGTATTAGTAGCTTGTTTATATAGGTTTTGTCATGTGCCATATGATCAATCGATCTTCTTTTTCGTTTAGCCGAAGGTACCATCACAGAAGCTGCTCATAAGGTTCTTGAGAAGGAGCAGAACCACAAAACAAGCTCTACAGAAGAATCTAGTGGTGCCAAGAACGATGATCAGCTGGTTGAAAAGAATTCACCTGATTCAGACGGCCAAGAATCTGCCAACAAAGAGACTTATGCTTCCATTGTGAGTTCACTGGGCTGAAGCATATTTTCAATGTAGTTTGTCTATGTTTTTTCCAGTGATCATTTATTTAAGTATAGTTGCTCTCAAACACAGGTCGCAAAACCGATTCCCCCTCAAGCATCTAGGCAGGTTTTGGCAGATAAACCATCATCAAGCACCATTTCTACCATTCCTCCTAAACAAGGCCCTGCTCCTAGCTTTGGTACTCCATAAACCATCTATATGAATGCAAGTTCTTTGGTTATCATGACTGTTAAGTGGCAGCATTGCTTTTTCACTGAACTTTCTCGAATACTTGTTGCAGTGAGGACAGTTCTAATCAAAGACATCCCGCCACATTTGAAGCTCAATGTATTGACCAAAGCATTAAGAAGTCGATTTGGATCTCTTAACCACAAGTATATCCAGATCCAAGAATACGAGGTCCGACCTAGCTCAATTCTCTTCTAAGTATATATATATATTGCAATCATGTATATAATATAGAATCTTTAATCTTATGCTTAGGATGGATATCGTTATGCTTTTGTGGAATTCAATCAACCGAAATCTGCACGTCAAGCAGTTCAGGTACATACGTTAAATTCACAAGTGTCCGTTAATTAAATAGTTTAGATGTCGTTTACTATATATTTCCATAAACAAATTATGTAGGTGTAGTAGTTTTACGTTTAGAACGTTTTATCTAGTTTACAACATCACACGCTTAGAGCATCCACAGTGGAGGTTCTTGTAATCAAATGACCGTTTCTTGGATTATGTTTCGCTAAGTCCGTTAGGATAGGAAACAGTCATTCTAACAGTTCTACAATAACCTCCACAAGGTTCTTTATACCATCAACATCCACAAGATTCTGGCAATTCTTCCATGGAAAGTAATAAGTTTACATACATCAACTTATTTACCATTTTTTGTTAATGCAGGTTGGTTCTATTAAGTTTGCTGACTGGGAATGCCAAATTGAGCCCAAGAAATCAAAACAAGGTTTGCGAAATAACGAAAAGTACTCTATTGTGTACCGACTACATAACCTATTTAACTAAATACCCTTGCAAATGGACATATGCAGATTCGGAAGCTCGTGGTGTTCGTGGCAGCTGTGGTACCAACCGCGGTGGCAACTGTTGTTCATCCATTTAGTCTAGTTAAGTTTCTGTCTGATGTCTTTCGATCTATGGGGTTGAACTTTATTAATCCTGGTGACAAGAAATACCCCGTGCGACTTGTTAAATTTATCTAAATGGTTGAGACGTTATCCGTACAACTTATAGATCTTTAATTAAGTTCAAACTTTATTCTCCTATATTGCTCGATCAATTATTATGAGTTATAAACGAGTTCTAGTAGATTTCGTATAGCTTTTTAGGCTTTCTAGAAAATCTTGGACAAAACCATTAACGTGTGGTTCGAAAATGGTTCCATGTGGGTCTTTAGATTTTCGATACTTCTTGTCGATGATGGCTGAATGGAGTACTGTGGGTAGCTGAAAACATTCGTAAGTAAATGCAAAGTCAGCTGGGATAGATCTAGAGGTTTTCAAGGGAGGAGGAAAAGGGATCCAAATGGAATTAGGGTTTAATTAGGGTTTATCTTCGCTTTAGTTCTTATTCTTTCATTTCAAACCGAGTCTTAGGATGTCGTTTCGCTTGTGTGGGATAATAGTATAGTTGTTCTTTGGTTACGGGATCTAAATAAATAGCAACAACAAACTGTAACCTAACCGATAATCCAATCAAAACGGAGTAGATCATGATCTTCAGTTACCACACGAGCATTTAGATCACGATCAAATGGATATGTATTCAGTAGCAGCGATTTTCAACTCTAGTCGTCGTCCGACCGTAACCAATTAGGGTTTAAGGCTCGATACGTCACGTTCGTCAACAGTTTCATTCGGTATCCGAAAATGAGGTGTTGATGATGTTGCAACATAACGATATTGAGCATCAACTGCTGCAGTTTTTGTGCCGCTTTGGCAAAATTTTAAGGCTTCAATAATAAATTACTTTACAATGTCACATCGGAATAAATCAATAGAACAGTTTATTTCGAATATGTGTTAAAGCACTTTAGGGGGTGTTTGAGATTGCTTATTTGAAACAACTTATGTTTTTTTACGAAAGCACTTATCAACTTATTATAAGTCAGAAGGGTTTAACTTCTTCAAAAAATTCTTATTACCGATTTGGCACCGGTATAAGTTGTTTATTCAAACATTCGAAATTGCTTATTACCAATGTCACACCGGAATAAATCAATAAGTTGTTTTTATAAGCAATCTCAGACATCCCTTAGTATTCCTAGATGTATAAATTAGTATTATTTTAATATATCTTTTACAATACGTAGCATTGCCAATCTTTCAATCATCAAAGATTTTTTTTATGTTACATCAATTATCCATAGCGTTACGCATTGACTGCTCGGAATTACAGTTTGTTCATGTTTGGCCGTTATAGACTAACTTATTTTATGAGCTTTTATGAAAAGCCCTCGTTTGAATTGTCATATGAAATGTTATTTGTAGTAGCGTTTCAATAAGCTACATGAGTTTTTTTTATCGTATTCTTTCAATTGTACCCCTTATTAATTAATATTAATTGCAAATTATTAATTTAATATTAATTTTTAATTATGAATTGTTATTAATAATTAAATAATAACTAAGATTAAATTAAAAGATTGAATATGTTCATTTAGATTTAGCTTATCAACTTAAGGTGTCGTTTACCAAAAACGCTTATCCGAGTAAGCGCTTACCAAGTCACTTTACTTTACCGGATGAATATGACAAGTACTAAAAATCTTACCCGGTAAGAGCGAAGACAAGAATCGAGAGTCTTACCCGGTAAGTGAGGACGAAGACTCTTACCATGGTTAGCGCTTACCGGGATAAATTGTTGCATACAATGCGCTTTAGTGAAAAAAATCTTATCCGATAAGTAAGCGATAATGTTGAATTTTACCGGTAAGTGTTTATCGGGTAATTTTAGGTAAACGGCCCCTTAATTTTGCATATCGAATTATGGATAACCTAAAAGTCAAAATAAGGTTATAATGAGAGTAAATTATGGGTTTGGTTCCAAAGGTATGTCAATTATTATTTATTTGATCGTTTATCTTCATTTATTACAAAAGAAACATCCACATATGCACTTTGTTATGGACTTGGACCTTGAGACAAACGATCGTCTATTTTTTACGAAGGTAAATTTGTCCTTTTACCTTTTTTAATCATTTGTTTATTTTTTTCTTCAATATTCATTTTCCTCAACTATACCATCAAGAACGTAATGAACACCAAGAACATTTAATTAGGGGTGCTTATGGGTTGGGTTGATCAGGTTGAAGACATTTGAACAACTCAACCCAATGTTTGCGGTTTGAAAAATCTTAACCCAACCCAACTCAAACCGTACAGGTTGGTCGGGTTAGTCGGGTTGATACATTTGGTGCATTAAAATATTCTTCTAACCTTGAATATGTCATTTCTCTACTCATAATTTCTTTTTCATCGTCAACCATTTGATACGACTTATCCATACTTCTTACGTATATCACATTCAGTTAATTTTCTCAATTTACGTATATATATTTACAGTTACTGAACATATACACAAATGAGTTTACATAGAGATGTGAATAAATTGAAAAGATGTGTATATGAATAGCGTACGTAAATAGATTGAAAAGATGTATATATTAGTAGAAATAAATGGATATCGGGTTCATCGGGTTGAGTTCAAATAATAGTATCCCAATATCAACCCAACACCTACGGTTTGAAAATTTTACAACTCGATTAGACATCGGGTTGCTTGGTGTTGAGTTATTTCGCGTTGGATTGGATTAGTCGGGTTTTTAAGCACCCTTGCATTTGACAACAAAATAAAAACCGACATAAATCAAATTCAAAATGGGGGAAAAAATCAACTAATGCTGCCATGAATGATAATATTCATCTTTTCAAACTCTGATACCAAGAACACTTATCAAATTCAATCCCAAATCCAAACCTGAATTTAGAATCCATTTCAAACTCTATACATGGAAACCTGAATAAACATAATCGACAGACGAACCACATCTAAATATATGGATCTATGAAACAGATCCAAACGAATTGTAGGTGGATAAATCGTCTTCACAGAGAGAGGGGGGATGGAACGGTTCTGCTTGGTGCTTGACTCGGTGATGGTGGAACAGAGCCGCTTGATGCTCGCCCTCGGTGATGGTTAAGATGAGGGACGGTGCTGCTTTCATACTCCGGGAACCGTCTTTGAAACCAGAACCAAATCTGATGGTGGATGTGAGGGACGATGATGAAGGTTGGTGTGGGGTGCAAAAACAGGGAGGGAGGGAGGGAGATGGAGAGTACCAAACACTTACCCGGTGAGTACTTATCGGTAAAATTTAATATTATTATTTACTTATCGGGTAAGATTTTAGTTCATAAAAATGACATCGTATGCAACAATTTACCCGGTAAACGCTTACAATGGTAAGAGTTGTCGCCCCCACTTACCGGGGAAGACTCATGGTCATTGTCTCGTTCTTACCGGATAAGGTTTTTGGTCCTTGTCAAATTCGTTTGGTGTGGTAACATGACTTGATAAGCGCTTAATTACCCGGTTAAGTGTTTGGTAAACGACCCCTTAGCTTTAGGCGTCGAAGATGAGAGAGGGAGCCCCGAGGGTGTGAGAATTGAGAGAGGGAGCGCTGACGGCTATTTCAAAGGGGAGGGCGCGATGAAACCTAATTTGTCTATATGCAGTGTTATATAATTTATGGAAACGTGAGTAATAATGTAGATTGTATATATAAATAACCGTTAATTGTTAAATACAATCATCAACAAATTGTATCTATACGATTAATGAAAGTTAGTAGAATTTAACTTATGGATTATATATATACTAGTTGTGTATCCGTGCAATGCGGCGGGAGCCATGAATTTTAACGATTTTGAAGTTCTACTGGTTTTATAAGATAACATTTAACGATGATATATGTTACAATTACAGACTATTGATGAAAAAAATTGTATGACAATTTAAAATCCAATATATTTAAAATCCAACATATTTAAACGACTCCACAAATGTGTTCGATTTACACCAAGAGCAAAGAATCAAAAAACTTGCGTTTTAAGATAAACACTCAAAACCAATAAAAAAAACTACAAATTTGACAGATCATAAGCCATGAAAAGACCAAAAAGATGAGTTTTAAAATGAAATTTCAACTGCTTACCCTCTTTCTTGTCCAGAAACTCATATTAAGGTTGAATTAATACATGTGTATATATATATATATATATATATATATATATATATATATATAAAACTATAAAAGTATAAACCGTAAATATTAAAATATTTTTTCACAATATATATAATATATAATAATATAATTAAGTCAAAAACTATTCAATATTAGACTCATTTTGAATGTATTAACGAGACGATTATAATGGTATAACTTGTTAAAATAAAAATGTATTTTTTAAACATGTTTTAATTGATATACAATTATGTATATTAATTTGATAAAGATTTAAAATGAAACATTTAAAAGTAAAGGACGCAAAATAAATTAATTAACTAATTATAAAAGTATAAAGTCTAAATTTAAAATTATAATTTTAAAAAATCGGTTGTGAGAGGGTGAGTGTATGTGAGGAGAGGAGGGGTTGAAAAAGTGATATAAAAGGTATCTTGATCATTTAATATTTTAAGACTTTTGTTAAATTTATTTTATAAGATAGTATAGATTTAGATATATATATATATATATATATACTATAATTTTTTTAAAGAATAAAATTGTGAAATGAAATAAAATGAGTAACATTAATGATCATCATGTGGATAATGTATGCAATATTTGTATAATTGATGGCATTGCATGAAATTTTTTGTTTTTGGAAACACAACAGTATATTTGACAATTTTATTAAGAAAAACAAAAGTACGCCTAAATGGCATGGTAACTACCATCCAAATGCATACTCACTCTCTAAATGGGACAAACCCCAAATCTTTATATGGTGTGCACAAATCAAAACAACTAAAGATAACTGATTTAAAAACCTTCATACCACAAACAATAACCAAAATAAAATTGAATTGTACATGTAA